CTTCATTCACGATGAATCCAATATTGCAATATTGCAACGATCCATACCTTGTTGAGTGGTTTGAAACACTTAGCTTTGGTTTCAAAACGTAGCATTTCGCTGACTGTGAATCCATAACGGGAGCTAGCATTTTTGAGACATCACGTTGTAAACTTGCTACTTTCTTTTCATCCTTCATCACAGCATGTGGATTATTTTTCTGTCGTTGAAGAAAAAACATTTTGCCGACCTCAAGTCCATTACGATAACCATAATGAGGCATGCCGACGATGGGAACTTGTTGCATCATCGTTATTTTTGTAATTTTGTCACGTGTGTGTGTGCGTGAATAAATCATGTTAATGAGGTCGACCAGAGTTTATTTTCAGTCTGTTATTTATGTATCGCCGTTTTTACATTCAACTTATACAAAGTCAGTGAAAATGATTTCCATACAAAGCACCTGAAAAGTCTTTTGAGTAAAAATTTATTCCAGCTAAAATAAAATATTTTACAGTATACAAAATCCACACCCTTATAATGCTTATCAATGAGACGTTTTCTACACATCATACAAAGTAAGAACACAAATTCAACTGATAATAACATTGTGTTTTTCAGTGATGTTTGTCATGAGTTATTGGGCCATGTACCATTGTTTGCTGATCCAGCCTTTGCACAGTTTTCGCAAGAGATAGGACTTGCCTCTCTTGGTGCTCCGGATGAATGGATTGAGAAACTAGCAACAGTAAGTCAATCAATGACAATGACATCACTAATTAATAATCTAATATTATTACATATGTACTGCAGTTTATTTTGATCCGTCCCTGAAATCAAATTCGGTATTTCCACACCCCATATGCAAATGAGGTCTGAGAGCAAACAAAGTAGTCTCTTCAGGAGTACCATTTTTCGAAACATAGCAGAAATAAACAATATTTAGAATTACGATATTTTTCCCTTGGGGTACATGAATACACTTGCCGAGTGAAATAAAATTTGAACAACAGTAATGGTACTTTTAGGCAGTCACTTATTTTGACTAAAACTAATTTGCATATCACCCATGCAATAATGTTTTCGGTCGATATGCAAATGAACATGGTATTTCCATTGGCTACCAATTTTCACATTTTAACACATTTTCGTCTGCTATTTTTGACTCCCGTGTGCAAAGCACAAAAAGGGAGTCTTTGCAGTTAGTGTGTCTGTATGTGTGTGTGTATGTGTGTGTGTCCGTCTGTTTCACTGATATCTCAAGAACCATACATCAGTTTTTGATGAAACTTGGTGCATAGATGCTCTGGGCCAATGCGCAGATTTGATTAGGTTTTGGTAAAAATCCATA